CTGTTCCACAATGGGGTAATTAAAAACTGTAAAGTCGAAACAATGCCTACGGGGCTTTGGGCTTAGGGTTTAGGGTTTAGGGTTTAGGGTTAAAGGTTTCAAGGCTGTTCTACAAGAGGGCTTCTCCCAAACACTGTCTGCAGGGCTTCATCGCTGTTTAAGGCTTCGCAGCTTCGCACTCAAGAGTTCCAGGATTCACAATTGTGTAGTCTTGCGGCTCTTCACAAAGAACTTGTATTTGGTTTCAGGACACTTGACCCGGTGACCCTAAGTAAGAGTGCCTGCTCATAGCCTCAGCTGCAAAACAAGTAAACCCTAAACCCTAAACCCTAAACCCTAAACCCTAAACCCTAAACCCGAACCCCTAAACCCTAAACCAAAGCTATCTTGAGGCTCCCTCCTGCGACAGCAGACCCAGCCATGCAATCGAAGTCTACACCCTAGACCCTACCGTAACCTACCAAAACCTACTTTTTTTGTCGGTTCTTACTATGAGCCCTAATATGGAATTTATAGGGACCCTACAAAAAAGTGGGTTCTGGTGGGTTAAGGTACACCCTTGACCCTAAACCCCTAACACTAAATAAGCCCTTCACTCTTGGCCCTGAATCCTAAACCCTAAACTGCTCAGTGTTGCAACTCGGGGCAGCAACCCTAAACCCTAAACCCCTAAACAGTAGTAGTAACTATTTATGGAGGCTTCTGGTAACCTAGGCGCCTGAATAAGCTCAACCAGAAGCCCACGAGATAGGAATGGTAACAACTCAAGCCCCAAACCCTAAGCCCTAAACCCTATAAGCCCTAAACCCTAAACCCTATAAGCCCTAAACCCTATAAGCCCTAAACCCTATAAGCCTAAACCCTATAAGCCCTAAACCCTGATATAACGCGCGGATTCCTTGCCTTAGAAGTATGCTTCCTCGAAACGGGTCGTGCGACTTAACAGAACATTGAACAAGATCAAGTCCACCTCGAACCCAAAAGCTGACGTGAAGTGCCATCCACAAGCATATATGTGCCACGGACTCCACCACCGTCGTCATCACCCTTTATGTGTATGTATGTATATATATATATATGTATACATACATACATACATACATACATAGATAGATGGATAGATAGATAGATAGATAGGTAGATAGATAGATAGATAGATAGATATATACATATGAGATATTGGGGTTTAGGGGTTAGGCCTGTAGGGATTCTCATAAGAAGAATAACATAGGGGCCTTATAGACTTCAACAAGGTGCAGGGGTATATTAATTGCACTATAGCTATGACTAGCCACCCTAAGGAATAATATTGGTCTAGTACGCGGCCACAGACCTATCACGGGACCGCAGCCAATCCCTGAAGTAAGCTTGGATCTGCTGCAAATCTCAACTGTGAGTGGCGAGAGCTCCCTTTGCGCAGCTGGGATCTGCTGAAATTCTCGCAGCTTATCCTGTACCTCACTGCTGTCGCCAGCATGCTGAGCATTGCCCCATGTGACCACAGACCCATCGCCTAGGATTGTAGCAAATTCCTCACCAGAAGCTTGGATCTGCTGCAAATTCCCTAGCTGATCTTGTACCGAACTGTTGTCGCCACCACCTTCGGCATCACCCCAGGCGACCACAGATCCATCACCGAGGACTGCAGCAAATGCTTCTTGCGAAGCCTGGATCTGCTGCACATTTGTCAGCTGATTCTGTACCGCACCGCAGTCGCCGCCACAGTCGGCATTACCTGAGGTGACGACAGATCCGTCACCCAGGATTGCAGCGAATGCACGAGAGGAAGCTTGGACCTGTTTTACACTCTTCAGCTGTTCCTGCGCGAAGCCGTTGTCGCCACCACAGTCGGCACCTCCCCAGGTGACCACAGATCCATCACGCAGGATTGCTGCAAATGCCTCACTGGACGCTTGGATCTTCCGCGCATTCGTCAACTGATCCTGCACCGCACTGCTATCGCCACCACAATGAGCATTGCCACATGTGACCACAGATCCGTCACCCCGGATTGCAGCAAATGCTCGTTGCGAAGCCTCGATCTACTGCACGTCTCGCAGCTGATCGACCACAGATCCATCGCCCAGAATTGCAGCAAATGCTGCACGTGAAGCCTGGATCTGTCGCACATCTCGCAGCTGATCCTGCACTGCACTGCTGTCGCCACCGAAGGAAGCATTCCCCCATGTGACCACAGACCCATCACCTAGGATTGTAGCAAATGCACCAACAGAAGCTTGGATGCGTTGCTCAGTCTTCTGCCGCTTCTGTACGGAACTGCTGTCGCCACCGTCGTCGGCATCACCCCAGGTGACCACGATTCCGTCGCCTCTCCTTGTCGTGCCGACGTTTGGGTTCCACCAAAGCAAGGATTCGTGGAGACCAACCTGGCAATGTTTCGCAGGAACCCGCAGCTCTTGAAGGCTCTGATGGCGCTGGTCGTGTGGTGAGGCTCACCACACGACCGAGCGCCATCAGGCAGCGAAGAACTGGGCCATGGACACAGCCCCGTAGCCCAAAGGACGGCATCGAAGAAACCTGTCGCGCCTCGGTGCTGACAGTCAAGTCGCCGTACTGCTGGTCTGTTTCGTGCTGCACAACGGATTCCTCTTGGTCCTGACATCCTGGTGCATGATGTCATGCACCACGACATCAGGACCAAGAGGAATCCGTTTCCTGATGCTGGGAAGCGCGGGGCTATCGTCTGGGAGGCTATGGGCTATGGGTCTTGTCGTCGACGTTCTGGGGCACCTTGGGCGCGCCATTCAGGCTGGGCCAGAATGGGAACGATAGACATGATCCTTGTCATCGCGGGGCCTGTCTATCGTTCCCATGCTGGGCCTAGGGACTGCATCCTCACGGCTTCCGTGTTGCAGTTGAACTGCAATACGGAAGCCGTGCAGATGCAGTCCTTGAGGCAGTTGGCCGCCTGTGCGGAAGACCAGAGAACTCGACAAAGGGGGCTTCTGGATCGGAGTATGCAGCCTGGTGACATATGTCACCAAGCTGCAGAGTCCGACCCAAGAGCCCCTTTCTCCAGTTCGCTCAGAACGCGTCCCGCTTTTCCTGGTGGCTTTCAGCTGGACTTGGTTCACATGTCGCGTGAGCACGTCTCCACTCTTCAACTTGGCTTTTTTTGGTAGCTTCTTCCACGTCACGGATCTCACCGGAGGAATTCAGCAGCCTCCCTCTACCCGTGGCTAGAGCACTCTGGGCAGGCTGCTTCCATGACTCAAGAGCTGAATCCGAATCCACTTCGAAAGATGCACTTTGGCCACTCAGTTGATGTTCATCCAGAGAAATCGTCATGATGCTTCATAGGGCGCACGTCCTAAGACTACATCTTGCTGGATTGCAACAGCATCCTTCACACCGCAAAACCGAGTATGACATGCACAGATGAAAGCAAAAAGTAACGAGTAGATGTCATTGGCCAAGGGAAATTGAAAGTGTGGAAATGGCGAAGAGGACTTTGAAAGTGCAGTTACTTCAGTGTTGGAGCCATAGTGCTTCGGCTTGAGGGTTCAGGGCTTTTTGCAGTTTAGGGGGGCTGAAGGGCGAAGCTACGGGCATTTTCGGATATTATAGGAGCCTTAATAATTAGAATAGGGTTTTGGGGCCTAGAATACTATAATGATATTAAGAAGCCACCAAAATAATATAGGTAATTATTAAGGCTTTAGGAGTTCAAGGTTCAGGCCCTAGGGGTGCGTGTGTGCTTGCGGGGCTCAGCCCTAGGAGCTTCGGAGTACTGTTATAGTACAACGACAGAATATACGGGCCTGAATAATTAGAATAGGGTTTTGGGGCCCATTTTACTATAATTCTAATAAGGAACCCCCTAAAATAGTATTGGTATTCTATTTAAGCTTCTATATTTGGAACTGAAAGGGGGTAACAATTACTTACCATTCCTAAACCTACTGAAAGGATCGTGGGACTTAGTAAGTAG